ATTTGTCAGCTGCCCTCAATCACACATGGTTGGTGGTTCTGCTTCATCAATAAAGGGAACCTTTCTTTCCAATCAGTCTCCAGCCTCTATTTTATTTCCACTGCCTTTCTCCCTGCTTGGAACGGGAGCTGTATATTTCTTCCAACAACATCCTGCAAACACCACTGAATCCCTGGATGTCAGTTGCCTGAGTTTTCCAATACACAATAGTCTTTGATTTACAACAGTCCATTTAGTGACCGTTCAAAGTTACAACAGCACTGAAAAATGTGATTTATGACCATTTTTCACACTTATAACCGTTGCAGCATCCCCATGATCACGGGATCAAAATTCAGATGCTTGGCAACTGGCTCATATTTATGACGACGGCTGTGTCCATAGGTCATGTGATCACCTTTTGCGACAACCTGACAAGCAAAGTCAATGGGGAAGCCCAATTCGCTGAACAACCAGATAGGCAGGATAAAATATTTCCCCTAAAAGAGAAATAAAAAATCTTAAGGGAGACAGAGCCCTAGCTCCCTGGCCCCCAAGCAGATACTGAGATGGGGCAGCTTTAGAAATGCTGATTTGGTAATCCATTACTCCCTGCAGCAAAGTCCAAACTAAGGCAGATTAGCCCTCATCAAAAGGATAGGAATTATTGTCTCAGAAACCTCAGAAACCTCAACTAAATTTAGCTTAGACAAACTCCTAGGACCGTGATGGCGAACCTATGGCACACATGGCATGCAGAGCGATATCTGTGGCATGCGAGTGTTGCCCTAGTTCAGCTCCAGTGTGCATGCGTGCCGGCCAACTGATTTTCGGGCCTTCTGGTCCCACTGGAAGTCAGGAAACGGGCCGTTTCCACACTCCCCAGGCTCCTAGAAAGCCTCTGGAGCCTGGGGAGGGCAAAAAAACGGGTCTACTGGGCCCACTGTGGCATCACGTGCCAAAAGCGGGGGGGCAGAGGGGTTGTGCGCACATGCGCAGGGGGCAGGGGAGATTGAATTATGGGTGTGGGCACGCACACGCACGACACCACACACACCCACGCTTCCCACGCTTTTGGCACGCAACGGCAAAAAGGTTAGCCATGACTGTCCTGGGATTTGTACATGGCACCATGGGAGTCTGACAACAGCCAATAGAATACATGTTCTTTCACAGGAACAGGAAGTTCAAGTTCAAAGCCTAAGAGAAGATATAAATACCCTCCACTCTCAACTCCATGTGGCCAGCTGCCCAGAATCCCACGTGCTTAGTGGTTCTGCTTCATCAATTAATCGACCCTCTTTCCAATTGGCCTCCAGCCTCCGTTTTGTCTCCAGTGCCTTTCTCCCAGATTAGAATTGGACCTGGATATTTTTTCCAACAATTGGGGCATGTCAGTGACTGGCTGGAGAATTCTGGGAGTTAAAATCCCAACATCTTAAAGTGTCCAAAGTTAAGAAACTCTAGTGTGGATCAAAGCTCCGTCCCCTTTTAAATGTCCCTCAAAAGAGGCAGGACTTTAATCCACCATCTTGATTTCATTGATTCTCTTGCTGTGATGCTAAACATCAGGACTGGCCATCTGTGACCTGGCACTTCTAGACATGTTGGGACTTCAGCTCCCAGAATCCCTGGCGCACTCCACCTATCAGCCATTCAGAAACAGACAGTTTGAGATACTGAAGTTAAAGCTATACAAGCAGTTTTAGTTGTGAACAGTAATAATACAGATCAACTGATAAAAAAACAGCAGACAGACTTTGCTGAACAAGGCAGCTGATACTGATACATGATATTGTAGAAAATTAAGACTAGTGTTTTTCAACTTTGACAACTTTAAGAGGTGTGAACTTCAACTCCCAGAATTCCTCAGCCAGTATTGTTGGCTGGGGAATTCTGGGAATTGAAGTCCACATCTCTTAAAGTTGCCAAGGTTGAGAAACAAGTTAAGGCAGTATGGGTTGAGCCGCAGCAATATTATGGGCTCTGCTGCCATCATGTGGTAGTTATATGCCTTTGCATAATGTTCCTCGTCTATGCTTTACTATCCAACATCTGTGCAAGAAATAATTCCACAGGACTGTGAGTTCACTTGCTTCAAGAGCAGCTCTTACTATCTTCAGGTTCACAAACCACAAAATTGGGCAGTTATTGGCAATGAATATCCAGTGACTATCTTAGCATAACATGGTAAGATAGTTAGTTTGTTAGATAGTAAGTTGCTTAGTTTGAACACTGGATCATTTTTCATAGCTTAATACGCTATGTTAAGCAAGGCTGGTATGTAGTTATTAGATTTTTTAATCCTGAATTTCTCCCAGAAGCTTTAATACAGGTAGTCCTCAATTTACAACCATTTACTTAGCATCTGTTCAAGGTTACAACAGCACTCAAAAAAGTGAATTATGACCTTTCCTCACACATACAATTGTTGCAGCATCCTCACAATTGGGACCAGAATTTCTACTGCTAAGCAAAGTGGCTGTTAAGTGTACTCAATTTTACAACGTTTTTTGCTATGGTTGTTATGCGAATCACTGCAGCTGGTAAGTGAATCATGAGGTCATTGAGTGAATCTGGCTTCCCACATTGCTTTTGCTTGTTGTATTATTTAGCGCAGGGGTCCCCAACTCCCGGTCTGTGGACAGGCCCTGATCTGCGACATGCCAGAAACTGGATCGTGCAAACAAGCGAAGCCCCATCCATGGGATGCAGGCAGCCTATGAAACCAGTCCCTCTGGTCTGTGGAAAAATTCCGTGGATTCTGTCTCCACGGAATCAGTCCCTGGTACCCAAAAAGTTGGGGACGTATGATGATATATATATATCATATATATACACACCATCCACATAATTTTATACAAAACCTCTATTATTTATTTATTTATTTATTAATCAAATTTCTATACCGCCCTACTCCCGAAGGACTCAGGGCGGTGAACAGCCAAGATAAAATACAAATAATACAAATATTAAAAAATCCCTTAAAATTATTAAATATTTCGGCCGAAACACAGATTAAAACACCCAATTTGTAAAATCACGAATTAAAAAATTTAGAAATTTAAAAGATGGGAGTTAGGCCAGGCCAGCTTGCTGAAATAGAAAAGTTTTGAGAGCACGGCGAAACGTGCGCAGGTCCGGGATCTTCCGTATCTCTGGGGGGAGCTCGTTCCAGATGGTAGGTGCCTCCACAGAGAAGGCTCTCCCCCTGGGGGCCGCCAGTCGACACTGTTTGGCCGACGGCACCCTGAGGAGCCCCTCTCTATGGGAGCGTACTGGTCGGTGAGAGGCTATTGGTAGCAGAAGGTGGTCTCGTAGGTACCCCGGTCCGATGCCATGGAGCGCTCTAAAGGTGGTAACCAAAACCTTGAAGCGCACCCGGAAGACCACCGGGAGCCAGTGCAGTTCGCGCAGGAGGGGGGTCACATGGGAGCGCCACGTCGTTCCCATAACCACCCGCGCGGCCGCATTCTGGACCAGCTGGAGCCTCCGGGTGCTCCTCAAGGGGAGCCCCATGTAGAGAGCATTGCAGTAGTCCAAGCGGGAAGTAACGAGAGCATGAGTGACCGTATTTAACGAGTCCCGATCCAGAAAGGGACGCAACTGGCGAATCAGGCGGACCTGATAAAAAGTCCCCCTGGCCACGGCCGTCATGTGCTCTTCTAAAGACAGCCGTGAGTCCAGGAGGACACCCAAGTTGCGAACCCTCTCCGTGGGGGCCAGTGACTCGCCCCCAATAGTCAGTGATGGCACCAACTGACTATATCAGGATGTCGGAAACCACAGCCACTCGGTCTTGGATGGGTTGAGCCTGAGTCTGTTTCTCCCCATCGAGATCCGCACGGCCTCCAGGCACCGGGACATCACTTCAAGGGCATCATTGGGGTGGTCCGGGGTGGAGATGTACAGCTGAGTATCATCAGCGTACTGGTGGTACTTCACTCCGAAACCATGGATGATCTCACCCAGCGGCTTCACATAAATGTTGAACAGAAGGGGCTAGAGGACTGACCCTTGTGGCACCCCACATACAAGGGGCCTCAGGGTCGACCTCTGCCCCCCTGTCAACACAGACTGCGACCGGTCAGAGAGAAAGGAGGAGAACCACCGTAGGATGGTGCCCCCCACCCCTAACTCCTCTAGCCGGTGCAGCATGATACCATGGTCGATGGTATCAAAAGCCGCTGAGAGGTCTAATAGGACCAGGACAGAGGAACAACCCCTGTCCCGAGCCCTCCAGAGATCATCAACCAACGCGACCAATGCCGTTTCCGTGCTGTACCCAGGCCTGAAGCCCGACTGGAATGGATCCAGATACGACGATTCATCCAGGTACTGGGGGAGCTGTCGCGCTACCACACTCTCAACAACCTTCGCAACGAAGCGAAGGTTGGAGACTGGACGATAATTTGCCAACACTGCCGGGTCTATGGAGGTATGGCAGCGACCTCATAACTGGATGCTCAATTCAGCTATCCAGGCAATCACCTCTGGATGCAAAGAGAGATCACCTGGGATGTTATAACCATCATAAATACATTCTAAGTGTCAAGCGCCCAGATTTCGTTCCTGTGACCCTGGGATGCTACAGGGGTCGTAAGTGCAAGGACCAGTTGTAAGTCACTTTTTTATGGTCTTGTAACTTCAAATAGTCACTCAACAAATGGTTATAAATTGAGGACTATCTGTATAGAAAGGTAACTTTTTTCCCCTGATTCAATTTCTCTTTATCCAAGGTGAATCAAAAGAGGAGCCCATACTATTTTTATTTGCCATGCAAAGGACTGGAAACTAAAGTGTGAAGTTTTTGTGGTTAAAAAGACAGTACAGTGCAAGCAGTCAAGCGTAGATTCATCCAGTGATGACTTTCTGGAATGAAGATCTTCTAAACAGGAGCAGGAAAGCTCACAATAGAAGCACTGTTCATGTGCCCTGTGGCTAACAACAGGTAAAAAGAAACTCCAGAAATGTCCCAAATTGTTGCCAAACCAATAGGAGCTCCTTTCTCTCAGATCAGGCCACATTTGCAGCAGGAACAGAGATTGAAAACAAGGGATTATTTTAAATCTGAAGCCTCAGGAAGACGAAGAGAACGAATCCTGTTGCCTTGGGCTCCTCTACCAAATTAATAATTCAGTTTCATAAGGTAAATTACAGAGTTGTGCTGCAGAAATATGTAAATATTATATGTAGATGCACCTATGGTGATAATTACAAGGTGAAAAGATGCATAGTGCATCTGAGGACACTATTATGGGGAGAATCTCTTGGATGGATGGATGGATGGATGGATGGATGGATGGATGGATGGATAGAAGGAAGGAAGAAAGGAAAGAAGGAAGGAAGGAGGGAAGGAAGGAAGGAAGGAAGGAAGGAAGGAAGGAAGGAAGGAAGGAAGGAAGGAAACAGAATAAAAGGGAAGAAGGCAAGGGAGGAAGGAGGGAAGAGAGGAAGGGGAAAAAGGAAAAATAAGTGGGAGTGGGGAGGGAAGGAAAAAGGGGAGAAAGAGAAAGAATGAGAAGTCTTGTAAATCCAGGCTAAAATACATTGGCTTACAAATAAATTTCACTAAAAATAACAGGACCTGTTTCTGAATTGACATAGAAATATGGAAGGGATGGTATTTTAATCACACCACAATCAAACCCTTTTTTTATTTTGCTTGCATGTTTTTTTTTCTTTTTAGATTTTTGCCTTTAAATTCTTATTTCACCCAACATCATGAAATTCTAAATTCTACAGCATCCTAATACTTAGAAGACTGAATTTTAGATAGAATAACTTGTGATCTTTAACAATAACCTTGGGAAAGCTTACTTGTGAATTTAAAATAGCATTTTTGAACTGACAATTCCTTCTTTCAGCTGCCTTTCCCTGAAAACACAATCTGTTTTTTATATCTTGCTGCATTTTACCTGCTTCTAATTCAACTGCCTGCCATCACTGTGTTAAGATAATATCCCAGCATCTTTATTTCAGGCAGTCCTTGACTTATGATTACAATTTGACCAGAATTTCTGTTGCTAAGCAAAGCAGTTTTTAAGTGAGTCACGTCTGATTTTTTGCCACAGTTAAGAGAATTATTGAAGTTGTTAAATGAATCATGCAGTCATTAAATGTATCTGGTTTCCCCATTAAGGCTACTTCTTCTGTCAGCTTCCTGCAATTTGGCAGTTCAAATCTCACCGGCTCAAGGTTGACTCAGCCTTCCATCCTTCTGAGATCCTTCTGAGATAAAATGAGGACCCAGATTGTTGGGGGCAATACGCTGACTCTGTAAACCTCTTAGAGAGGGCTGTAAAGCACTGAGAAGCTGTATATAAGTCTAAGTGTTTGGAACCAGCTGGGCAATCCCATGATCCTGGCATGCCACAACCATCATAAATACATACCAATTGCCACGTAGCCTGAATTTTGATCACATGACCATGGTGATGTTACAATGGTCATAAGCATGAGGACCAGTTATAAGTCACTTTTTCAGTGCCACTATAACTTTGAATGGTTGTTAAGCGAATGTTTGTATGTCAATACAAGTCTACATGTATTGTAATGAATTTAAGGTTGGCCTTCTAAACAGATGTATTTACAAGAGAAAACTGTTTAATTCAATGGCACATCATGCTTAGAACTGTATTGTAAAAGATAACATGTTAACTATAACTCTCTTCTGCTCTGTAACTTTCAGATTAAGCCAATTTCATCTTTCCGGATGCTGTTTTTTATATTTCTTTCCCTTCTTTGTGCTGGAGTATCAACTGCTTCAGGTAAGCTCTAGAGTCTAGAACAATGTTTTTCAACCTCGGCAGTTTGAAGATGTGTGGACTTCAACTCCCAGAATTCCCCCAGCTGGGGAATTCTGGGAGTTGAAGTCCACACATCTTCAAACTGCCCAGGTTGAAAAACATTGATCTAGAAGCACTCTCACTGAATTCTATCCAATGCCTGAGGAATAAGAATTGTAGGAAATTGTGACAATTCGCACTTAGAATGGTGCGTTTGTATGTGTGTGGATATATCAATTATAAGGACCAGATGTGTACTGTAGACAAAAGTTAGAGGCAGGGAAGCCCCCAACCTATACATTAAAGCATAGAGTTTTGGAGAATTCCCATTCTCTTAACAACCATTCAGACTTACACGTTAAAATTTTATATTTTTATGCAGATTTATAAGGCTTAAACACTGTGACTGCATGAACAACACAAAAACAAACAAACAATAAACTAAAATGGCAATTAAGCATACAAGAGAGCAAAAGGGAACTCCACTGTTTGCCCCTAAAGCTTAGGGGAATGGCCAGGTTTAACAGCTTTTTTAAAGGTGAGGAGAATTGAGGCTGATCCAAGTAACAGGGCAACAACAGAAAAAGCGTATTTTCTTGGACCCTTAAGAAGGGAATCTGTTACCTATTTCATTAGAAATGTATTGGTTAAGCAGTTTTTCCCAGCCAGCAATATACAGATTATTGTAGCAGATCTGAGTTACAAGGACTGGCCAAAAAAGATATAATTTGAATTAAATCACTAGTTGATTGCATACATCTCTACAATTACAGGCCAGGATTAAATGATTAAAATGTTAAGTGCTGTGTTTGAAAATTGTAACTCTAACGTAATACTAGTTTAGCAGCCAATCTTGTAGACAAATCCTGTAATCCCAAATATTAATGGATGGCTAACCCGATTCTCAACATGGTTTTCACTCGCACGCATTTCAATTCTCTTCTGCCTTAGCAAAAGGCAGCATCTGATTGGCCTTATATGGACTAAGAAGCCAAACGGGTTCCACAACTCATAAAACTTCACTACAGAATATGTGTTCTTTTTTTTTCCGTCTCACTTTCTCTGTGAGTAAATCTGAAGTAAAGTGTCAACTTATACCATCGTCCTGACATGTACAACAGCTTTGTAAATATGTCTGCAGAGGTTACTAGCATAAAAAATTAAAAACCAGCTAACCAATAATTTATATTATTTATAAATAATATTTATAATATGCCACCAAAGTATGGTCCAACTCCATGGTGAAATCCAATTTTTTTTACTACCAGTTCTGTGGGCGTGGCTTGGTGGGCATGGCAGGAAAGGATACTGCAAAATCTCCATTCCCTCCCCACTCCAGGGGAAGGATACTGCAAAATCCCCATTCCCCATTCCTGGGGGAAGGATACTGCAAAATCTTCATTCCCACCCTACTCTGGGACCAGCCCGAGGTGGTATTTGCCAGTTCTCCGAACTACTCAAAATTTCTGCTACCGGTTCTCCAGAACCTGTCAGAACCTGTTGGATTTCACCCCTGGTCCAACTGCCATCAAAAATAAAAAGTAAATTTCAGTTAAAATTGCACATAAGCAACAACTTCAAGATATACCATGATAGATTTATATAGTAGAAAGAACATTTACACAATTATAAAATCCTAAATGTATAATCCTGGCCTGTAACCTCTGTTATCTAACTTTGCTTGTACAGGTGGTCCTTGACTTACGACGTTAATGGAACCCAGAGTTTCAGTCATAAATTGTTGCAGTCATTAGGTGAAAGCACCAAATGACAACTCAATTTGATGATCATTTTTACAATGGTGTAAAATGGTGATTCGCAAAGCGAATCACCATGATTGTTAAGCAAATACCCAATGAGTGTATTTTGTGTTTTCTGCAAAAAAACATCACAAATCACAGTCATAGGACTGCGGGATGCTGCAACCAGTTATAAATGTGAGTTCGTTCCCAAGGACCTAAAATGTATTCCTGTGACTTTGGAGGATGTGTGGTAGTTGTAATTTGGTCATAAGAGGCTTTTAAAAAGTTTGTCGTAACTTTGGATAATTATTAAGAGACTGGTTGTAAATTGAGGATTCCCTGTAATCTTTACAAAAGAAAATAAAAACAGCACTATCATCTAATTCGGTGTTTCTCAACCTTTGCACCTTTTTTTTTGCTTTAATTTATATGCCGCCCTTCTCCGGAGACTCAGGGCGGCTTACAATGCGTTAAGCAATAGCCTTCATACTTTTGTATATTTATACAAAGTCAGTTTATTGCCCCCACAATCTGGGTCCTCATTTTACCTACCTTTGAAAGGATGGAAGGCTGAGTCAACCTTGAGCCTGGTGAGATTTGAACTTGCAGTAATTGCAAGCAGCAGATGTTAATAACAGTGCTTTAGTCCACTGTACTACAGGCTCTTGTAAGATGTGTGAACTTCAACTCCCAGAATTCCCAGCATGCTGGCTGTGGAATTCTGGGAGTTGGAGTTCACACATCTTCAAACTGCCCAAGTTGAAAAACACTGATCTAACTATTAGCCACCATTCTCAATAATAATTCACAGCCACCTCTACCAATTCACCTGCTTTATTACATAGGTACATTTTCAAACATTAATGATGTTACTTTGTTTTGAGTATGAGTTTCAACAGAACACGAAACTTTTTCAGTAATATTTGAGCTCTTGGATGATGGGAAGCGAAAGCAGGAATCTGCAAGAGAACTTCCTATCTCAAAGCAGTCTTTCTCCACCAACCTATATGATTGTTTGTATGGAACTTTAGTTCACCTCTGAGTGACCAATCTATATACAAATACAAGGCTGTTTAATCAGGGGACACAAAATGGGATATAGCTTCATGAGTTATTCTGTGGGGACATAGGAAGATCAGAAATGGACTGTTGATTGATTAATGGCATAGGACCTAGTTATCTTCGAGACCGCCTACTGCTACCGACAGCCTCCCATCAACCTGTGCACTCCCACAGAGAGGGCCCCCTCGGGGTGCCATCAGCCAAACAATGTAGGCTGGTGACCCCCAGGGGGAGGGCCTTCTCTGTGGGGCACCTACCCTCTGGAATCAGCTGCCCCCAGAGATAAGGAGAATCCAAGACCGCGGTGCCTTCCTCTGTGCCTTCTTTTTCCAGCAAGCCGGGCTGGCCTAACACTTTTTAAAATGTTTTTGTTTGTTATTGTTTTTAATCATGGAGCCAAATTTATATATATCTTTTTAATTGTATTTTAATGTTTGTAGTTTATGCTTTTACTTGGCTGTTCACCGCCCTGAGTCCTCAGGGAGAAGGGCGGTATACAAATTTTAAAATAAAATAAATAAAATAAAATAAATCAACTCATTCAATTAACTGGTTCTCCTTCTTCTTTTTGGATCCAGACCAGAGAACGTTCTCTTCCTACTCTGGGGAATATGGTGGTAATGATGGGGACTATTTTGATCAGTCCAGCAACCAGTTTGAAGGCCCTATATCAGCAATGAAAATAAGGTCAAATGACAGAAGTATACTAAGGTATGTATATCTAAATGAACTTCAGTTGTCTATAGCTGGGCTTTAACTTGACAGCTAAAATTATGAATCAACTGAGGAGAACATAAATAACCCAAATGTGCAAACAGTTTATTGATAACTGACTGACTAATCAGTCAACAAGCTATTTGTATGTGAAAACATATGTCTAAGGGCTGCAGATCATGTTTAAAGAACATATCTAGATCAATACTGAAGGAAAATAAAGGATGAATGGAAGAGGTTGATTCTTTCTTGACTAGTATTTCTCAACCTCAGCAATGTGAAGATGAATAGACTTCAACTCCCAGAATTCTCAGCCAGCATGGCTGGTTGGGGAATTCTGGGAGTTGAAGTCCACAGATCTTCAAGTTGCCAAGATGGAGGAACACTATTCTGGAACCATTTCCTAGCTCTTCTTCATTCTGAATAAGATGACAGAAGTATAGGTGAAAGGCCTCTTCCTACAGAGGTCTGCTGAGATGAGCATCATCAATAAAAGAGAATATTTGTAGCTTTGGGTTGAAATAAGGGGTCCTTGGTGCTTTCTGAGCTTGCTTGTTTTCTTGCAGATGTTTCATGGCCAACTAGGTAACATCATCAATCCTACCTGTAACACTGATGATGTTACTTAGTTTGGTTAATGAGACGCTACAAGGAAACAAGCACCAAGGACCTCTCCTGAGTATCCTCATTAATTTCCATCTAAGCTGGCTCTACACCTAACATCACCTTTCTCTTGTTAATGCAGCATCCAAGTTCGCTATGGTGACACATGGTCCAATAATGAAGGCAGCACAGCAGGCCGCCCTTCGGACATGCACCTGTCCTTTGGAGAGGGATTGGTGCAGGTGAATGGCCGTTTTGGAAACTCTGTGGAATACCTGGCTTTCCGCACCAACATGGGCCATGTCTTTGCCTTTGGGCCGAATTCTGGTTTGGGAATGCCTTTCACTGCAGAGCCCTCGCACCCCAACACGGTTCTGAGGTTCATCAGTGGGAGGTCAGGATCGATGGTCAATGCCCTTGGTTTCCACTGGGATGAAGATCAATGGATGAAAGGGTGGAATGAATCCGTCCACTCTCCAGATCCACCACCAGTGACCCAGATATAGATCGCTCTACCTTTAATTCTCACCCTTTAAATCAATACAAACGCTACACAATCTCTTTTGTTTTCCTTTGGATCTTGGGGGGAGTATGGGAGAAGAAAAAGGAAGAGGGAAGGATAGGGAGTGATACATTTTTGCTGTTATTACCCTGGTTTTGATGGTCCCTTCCTTCATTTTGATTTTGCTTCCTTCATTTTGATTTGGCTCATTAAAGAGATGTTAAGCTCAAACCATGGATCAAAGCACTAAAAAAAATACAGATAGTCCTCGACTTATGACCTCAATTGAGCCCAAAATTTCTGTTGCTAAGCAAGAAACAAGTTAAGTGAGTTTTGCCCCATTTTACGACCTTTCTTGCCACAGTTGTTAAGTGAATCACTGAAGTTAGTAATATGGTTGTTAAGTGAATCTGGCTTCCCCATCGACTTTTCTTGTCATGGGACACTGCAACTGTCATAAATATGAGTCAGTTTCCAAGCATCTGAATTTTGATAACATGGGGATGCTGCAATGGTAATAAGTGTGAAAAATGGTCATAAATCACTTATTTCAGTGCCGTTGTAAATTTGAACGGTCACTAAATGAACTGTTGTAAGTCAAAGACTACCTGAATCTTGAAAAAAATGATTTGATACCTGTATTATACAGGTAGTCCTCGATTTACAACCATTCATTTAGCCACCATTCAAAATTGCAACAGCTTTGCAAAAAAGGGACATGACCAGTCCTTGTACTTACTACCAGTCCTCACACTTACAATCATCATCACGGCCACATAATCAAAAATTTGGACACTTGGCAACTGGTGTTTTTACAACGGTTGCAGCACCCTGGGGTCATTTGATTGCCATTTGTAACCTTCCCAGCCAACTTTTGACAAAGTAGGCCAATGGTGGAAGCTGGATGTGCTTAACAACCAGGTGATTCACTTGAATGACTAACTTGCTTAGCAATGGAATATCTGGTCCAGGAGTGGGTTCTACTTACCTTTACTATCGGTTCGTATTGGGAGCATGCTCAGATCACTGATGATGATGCCTGGGTTGGTGGGCAGAGCTTCCCGCCAGTTTTACTACCAGTTCTTGCAAACCGGTCTGAACCCGGGGCAACCAACCATTGATCTGGTCCCAATTTTGGTTGTAAGTTGGGGACCATAGTAACCTTATCTTGTGCACACAGAAACTCTGGAACCTACAGAAAATATAGGCAGTGTTCCTTGAAAGACATTTGCTCAGTTCATCCATTAGATGCCATGGGAAGAAGAAATAACCTTGAGGAACAGGGGGAAGAGAGGCAACCAGGACAATAGATAAAAGAAACCCGAGTCTGGGGCAGAACTGTAACCCGAGAAAGTTTCTCAGACAAAAACCCTCTTTTGTTCTCAGGAAGATAGAGCAGGAGGGGAAACGTATTCATATTTGCAAGATTCTATGACTGTAACCTTATAATAAAAGATGGATTAGCATTCATAATTTTGTTTCCTAGTCTGGTCTGCTTTGAAAGGCTGACAACAGGGTACAGGATTTGTCTAAGGGCTCCTCATGATCTGGTACAAGTTCTGCATCCATCCTAATGCTAGGATACATCTCACCTTTGATCTCACACTCTTCAAAAATGTTATGGATCTGGATAAGATGCAGCTATCCAACGTTCCCAGAGCAGGGTGGGGTATAGAATTAAAACTGGAACATGATTTGAAGAGGAGAAAATATTATTTATTATTAATGAGATTTATATGCCGCCCTATCTCTAGCCGGACTCAGGGCGGCTCACAACAGTTAAGAAACATCTAATAAAAAGTTAAAAAATTAAATCCAAATCTCATAATTTAACAGTTAAAAGTACAATTAAGACTAACCAGTTAAAATTAAATTAGAATTAAAACCCCATCAGTCCAGGCCGGCCAAACAAAACAGCCATGTTTTCAGGTCGCGGCGGAAAGAGCGGAGGTCGGGGGCCACCCGGAGCTCCAGGGGCAGTTGATTCCAAAGGGTAGGTGCGCCCACAGAGAAAGCCCTCCCCCTGGGGGTTGCCAGCCGACACTGTCTGGCCGACGGCACCCTGAGGAGGCCCTCTCTATGGGAACACACCGGGCGATGGGAAGCTCTTGCTGGCTGCAGATGGTCCCCCAAATATCCCGGGCCTAAACCAAAAATAAATTTGGCAACGGCATCTAATGGATAGATAGAAATAATAGACAGAAGGTGATCACATGTGATAGAGGATGAATAGATGGATGGATGGATGGATGAGAGGATGGATGGGTAGATATTGACAGATTTGGAAGCCAAATCAGCAGGCATTTATTCAGGAATCAAGTCATTAATTTGGTTTTTTGCATATAAAACTACAGACCTGGGTTGCAAATATCTGGTACTTTTGTGTGAGTGTGTGAGTGTGCAAGCACATGCACCTTCACGTCAGTTTTTGACTCCTATTGATTGCCTGGACAGGTCCCTGCAGTTTTTTCGGAAGTAGCTTGCCATTGCCTGCTCCCTAAGGCTGAGAGAGGAAGACTGGCCCAATGCCGCTAAGCAGGCATTATACCTAAGTTGGGACTAGAACTCTTGGTCTCCTAGTTTTCTAGCCTAGTGCCTTTACCTACTACATACTGGTAGTCCTCAAGTTACAACCAAAATTGAGGCCAAAATTTCTGTTGCTAAGCAAGACAGTTGTTACGTTTGTCAAATGGAGTTTTGCCCCATTTTACGCCTTTCTTGCCACAGTTCTTAAGTGAATCATTGCAGTTGTTAAGGTAGTCACATGTCGTTGTCAAATGAATCTGGCTTTCTCACTTGACTTTGCTTGTCAGAAGGTCATAAAAAGTGATCACTTGACCCCAGGACACTTGCAACCATCATAAATATGAGCCAGCAGCCAAATTTTGATCATGTTTTTTTTTTTTTTTTTAAATTTGATTTATATGCCGCCCTTCTCTGGAGACTCAGGGCGGCTTACAATGCGTTAAGCAATAGCCTTCATTCTTTTGTATGTTTTATACAAAGTCAGCTTATTGCCCCCACAAACTGGGTCCTCATTTCACCTACCTTAGAAAGGATGGAAGGCTGAGTCAACCTTGAGCCTTGGAGAGATTCGAACCAGCAGAAATTGCAGGCAGCTGTGTTAATTACAGGGTGCACTAAACCCGTGCTATCAAGGCTCTTGTGACCATGGAGATGCCCTAACATCATGTGACCATGGAGATGCCCTAACACAGTGTTTCTCAACCTTGGAAGCTTGAAGATGGGTGGACTTCAACTCCCAGAATCCCCCAGCCAGCGCTGCTGGCTGGGGGATTCTGGGAGTTGAAGTCCACCCATCTTCAAGCTTCCAAGGTTGAGAAACACTGTTGTAACGGTTGTAAGTGTGAAAAATGATCATGTCTCTTTTATCAATGCTATTGTAACTTTGAAAGTTCACTAAATGAATGGTTGTAAATCAAGGATTACCTGTACTGTACACCAAACGGGCTCTTTTTGGTAATCACTAGAGGGCAGCAAAGTTGGAAGTTTCTGTATCACTTTGTGCAGCCTGAAAAGGCCTCTCTCCAACCAGCTCAGCTGCCCAGCCACCAGCAGAAAAGCAACTGGGTGTGTTTGTGCAGTACTTCCTCTGTTGGAATTGCTCCAGAGGGAAGGTGGTTTCTGTTACTCTGGACATAGAGCAAATGGAAGCAGCCTAGGGCTGAGAGAGAGGAGTGATCTACTATTAGTAGTAGGAGCAGTGGTAGGTCTGGGGAAGTGTGTGGGAAGGAATTGTGAGTATTACCTAGTGGTGAAATTCAATTTTTTTTACTACTGGTTCTGTGGGCGTGGCTAGGTGGGCGTGGTGTGGCTTGGTGGGTGTGGCAGGGAAAGGATACTGCAAAATCCCCATTCCCTCCCCACTCCTGGGGGAAGGATACTGCAAAATCTCCATTCCCACTGCACTCTGGGGCCAGCCAGAGGTGGCATTTGCCGGTTCTCCAAACTACTCAAAATTTCCTCTACTGGTTCTCCAGAACCTGTCAGAACCTGCTGGATTTCACCCCTGCTATTACCGCTTGTGTGCTTGTGAGTGAGTTGATTAAAGGCCAAGGGGGGTTGTATTGGCCGATTGGGAGCCCACTGAATTTGGATAGATAAAAAACTTATCACCCACTTGACTGTCTTCTAAGGATTGCCTGTAATTTTGCAGGCCGAATCTGGCAGCTCCACGCCCATGGCTGGGGAATTCTGGGAGTTGAAATCCACAAATCTTAAAGTTCCGAATTGAGAAACACTGGCTTAGAGGAATACAGATAGTTCTTGTCTTACATTACTTCATTTAGTGATGCTTGATGTTACAACAGCACTGAAAAAAGTGACTTATGTGAGTGTTTTTCACACTCAGAATAAGAGAATAACAGAGTTGGAAGGGACCTTGTAGGTCATCTAGTCCAACCCCCGCCTAAGTAAGAGACCCTACACCATTTCTGACAAATAGCAGTCCAGTCTCTTCTTGAAAGCTTCCAGTGATGGACCTGCCACAATTTCTGAAGATAAGCTGTTTCATTGGTTGAATGTTCTCACTGTCAGAAAATTTCTCCTTATTTCCAAGTTGAATCTCTCCTTGATCAGTTTCCATCCATTATTCCTTGTCTGGCCTTCAGATGCTTTGGAAAATACCTTGATCCCTTCCTCTCTGTTACAGCCCCTCAAATATTGGAAGACTGTTATCCTGTCTCCCCTGGTCCTTCTCTTCACTAGACTAGCCATGCCCAGTTCCTGCAACCATTCATCGTATGTTTTAGCCTCCAGTCCCCTAATCATCTTGGTTGCTCTTCTCTGCACCCTTTCTAGAGTCTCAACATCTTTTTTTATCACAACTCTTGCAGCATCCCCATGTTCACACAATCAAAATTCATGACACTTGGCAACTGACTTTTGACGATTGCAGTGCGTGGGGCCACATAATCCATTTTGCAACCTTCTGACCAGCAAAGTCAATGAGGAAGCCAGATTCGCTTAACAACCACGTTACTAACTTAACAACTGCAGTGATTCACTTAACAACTGTGGCAAGAAAAGTCATAAAATGGGACAAAACTCGCTTCGCAAATGTCTCATTTAGCAACAAATTTAGAGCTCAATTGTGGTCATAAGGAGTGAGGACTACTTGTAGTCTCTCTGGATAGCAAAGGGGCACTATAAACTCTGGAACTTTAGATTTTTAGTAGAAATCCTGTTTGAAACACTCTGCTAAGAGCAAACACACAAAGAGCTGGGCTGCTGTCTGATATATGGATGATTTTGCTACTATGGAGTCCTTGGTATTCTCTGTGCTTGGTTGCTTTCTTGCAAATCTTTCATTACACAAGTAAGTAACATCAGTGCTAGTGAGTGTGAGGTTTGCTCCCTATTTATACACTATTAGCACTGATGATGTTACCTAATTGGGTAATGAAACATTTGCAAGAAAACAACCATGCTCAAAGAGACCAAGGACCCCACAGTTCAACGCTAAACTACAGATATTCTCAACTTATAACCATTGAGATCATGTGACTGAATGGGGAGTGGAGTGGAGTGGAGTGGAGTGGAGTGGAGTGGAGTGGAGTGGAATGGAATGGAATGGAATGGAATAGAATAGAATAGAATAGAATAGAATAGAATAGAATAGAATAGAATAGAATAGAATAGAATAACAGAGTTGGAAGAGACCTTGGAGGTCTTTAATTTAATTTAATTTAATTTATCGCATTTCTATGCCGCCCAACTCCTAAGGGACTCTGGGCGGCTTACAGCAAAAATAATGCGAACAATGAACATAGAAAAATTATTTAAAAACATTATAAAAACATTAAAAGCCCATGCATACCATTCATGGCCGGATCTCGCAAGATTCCAACAGCGAGATCAACAGCCTCAGGCCTGCCGGAAAAGCCAGATCTTCACCGCTTTCCGGAAGGCCAATAGGGTGGGGGTAGTCCAGATCTCAGGAGGTAACTGGTTCCAGAGAGCTGGGGCAGCCACAGAGAAGGCCCTCCCTCGCGGACCTGGCAGCCGGCATTGTTTAGCTGACGGGACCTGGAGGAGACCAACTCTGTGGGATCTTCCTGGTTGCTGGGAGCTATGCGGTAGAAGGCGGTCTTCTAATCCAAACCCCTGCTTAGGCAGGAAATCTTATACCATTTCAGACAAATGGTTGTCCAATCTCTTCTTAAAAACTTCCAGTGTTGGAATAATCATAACTTCTTGAGGCAAGCTCTTCCACTGATTAACCATTCTAACAGGATATTTCTCCTTAATTCTAAGCTGTTTCTCCCCTTGATTAGTTTCCACCCATTGTGGAAACCATGTCCTGCCTTCAGGTTCTTTGGAGAATAGCTTGACTCCCTCTTCTTTGTGGCATTCTTTGTTGGGCATTTGGCAACTGGCCTTCATTTATGGCTGCTTGCACTGTCCTGCAGTCATGTGACCAGTGGTTAAATCCAATTTTTTTTACTATCGGTTCTGTAGGTGTGGCTCGGTGGGCATGGCTGGGGAAGGATACTGCAAAATCCCCATTCCCTCCATAGGTAGGTTTCAGCAGGTTCTGACCAGTTCTGGAAAACCAGTAGCGGAAATTTTGAGTAGTTTGGAGAACTGGTAAATACCACCTCTGACTTGCTCCACCCCCATCTATTCTCTGCCTCCCGAGTCCCAGCTAATCAGGAGGAAATGGAGATTTTACAGTATCCTTCCCCTGCCATGCCCACCAAGCCACACCCACAGAACCGGTAGTAAAAAATTTTGAAACCATCACTGATTCCCTCCCCACTCCTGGGGGAAGGATATTGCAAAATCTCCATTCCCACCCCACTCTGGGGCTAGCCAGAGGTGGTATTTGCCGGTTCTCAAACTACTCAAAATTTCTGCTACCGGTTCTCCAGAACTGGTCAGAACCTGCTGGATTTCACTCCTGCATGTGTCCATGTTTTTGATGGTTTTGCTGAAACCTTTATTTCCTGTTTTTGGCAAAACAGCTCATAGCAAACAATTTCCTTAACAACTACTGCAAATAAGGTTGCAAAAATTAAGTCAATCACATAGGTGACCCAATTTATGACTGTCACAATTCATGGCCATGATAGCCAGGCCTCACAACGGCTGTAAATCAAGGACTACCTGTGCTGATTATTGCTATTCCTCAACTCTGATCCTTTCACATGCTGGAAATCAAGCTGGAACTTAATTCCTGCCTCTATTACGCTCACAGTCAGCTTGTATTATAACTGCTCAGAGTTCTCCTGAAAAATGCCCTCACAATAACAAGGAAGCTAAAAACAGCTTTAAAATTCCCTCTCTCTCGCTTGAAGGAGCAAGATTAGGAAAAAAAATATTGAATCATTGCTTAAAGTCTTAGTTTTGTTTTTGTTTTTAAACCTCCCAACTTTAAGGAGCAGCAACTTGAGGGTTAATGCTTTTGCTTATCGTTTGCTGAGGGGGTGGTAGTGGAGAGAACCACTTTTTCTCCCTCTTCCTTCTGCCAAGTACAAAAGTCACAAAGAGCCTGTCAACCAACAGGAAAGCAGCTCAGAAATGAAAAGGAAAAGCGAAAGGAAGCTCAGAGGGACGAGGGGTTTAGAGAACAATTGAGGAGGAAGGTTCAAAATGAGCAACGCCGACCTAAGTGAGCAAGAGAGAATCCTGCAAGAATTCCACGCTGGAACAGTTTTCCTTTCAGGAGACAAGGAATGGCTCGCAGGGAAGAATTTCTTTGTCGTGAAAAGCACGGTGGAGAGGATTGTGAAGTGGGTTTACGAGTCCAGCACTGGCTTGTACCCGTCTGACCCCATTCCCGTGGGCAGCTACAACGAAGGGCTGCACCTTCAAGTGGAGAACGTTTCCAACGACTTTGACTTTCTCATCCCAATACGGTATAACTCCAAGTTGGCGCTCCGCAGCAGAATCGTCCCCAATAATTCCTGCAGCCGTCCCACCCACCAGCTCCCCACCTACGTTTTTCGCAACCAAGGAATGCGTAAACTTCCCGACAAAGGGCTGCCGGTTTTTTGCCAGGGCACCAAAATGTTGGTGGATATTGAGGACCTGGCGGAGGCAGATGTGAAGATCTATTGTGATAAGCCAAAACCAAAGTTGGGGGAAGATGAGGAAGAGGATGATTTTGATGACCCTGCGTCTTATAAATTAGAAATGTGCCAAGTAGGTATTGATAGGATGGCCGGGAGGGAAGGTGGCGCCCCCTGGTGCTGAAATCTGGAACTTGTTTGCTGGGGGAAAGGTCTTTTTCTGGGGTGGGGTGGAGGGCAGGAAACTTTCTTTTTCTTTCTCTTTCTTTTTTGCTAGGAGAGTCTCAGCCACCATAATCTGGATCCAGAGCAAATCCTGAAGGACTTTCATCAATACGTAGGGATTGCCTTGAATCCAGGTGCGCCATTTCAGAAAAATTAGCATCCAGTGCAAGAATGAACAACTGTGTTGACCAGACATGGTTAAAATAAGAGAGAGCATGTGGTGAATGCTTTAAAAAAAAAATGGAGTGGACTTTGCAGATTCACAAAATTAATTTTCTTGGTGGGTTGGGGCTGTTTACGAAGGATTCAGTTAGCAGAAGGAACCTGATAAGGAAGGTCTGTAGAGCAAGGATCCCCAGATCCTGGGCCATGAGCTGTTTGGAACTGGGCCACTCAAGCGGCGAGCACACACGCATGTGCATCTCCATTTGTGCAAGCAGGAGGTGAGCGTGTGCGCATGCCCTCCATTTGTGCGAACGGCAGGTGCGCAGGGAACATTGCCATAGAGCCTTTACCCGGCACATTTACTATTTATTTATTAAAATTTATATGGTCGCCCAATTCACAGTAATCCTGGGTGCAGTGGTGAAATCCAATTTTTTTTACTACCAGTTCTGTGGGCGTGGCTTGGGCGTGGTGTATCTTAGTGGGCGTGGCAGGGGAAGGATACTGCAAAATCTCCATTCCCTCCGCTCTCTTGGGAGAAGGATATTGCAAAATCTCCATTCCCACTCCATTCTGGGGCCAGCCAGAGATGGTATTTGCCAGTTCTCTAAACTGCTCAAAATTTCTGCTACCAGTTCTCCAGAACCTGCTGGATTTCACCCCCGTCTGGGTGGTTTACAGAAAATTAAACCCCAATACAAACCCCAATAACCTCTCCCTCCCCTTATGCCCCCTGGTGACAACAAGAAAGCAACTCTTGATGGGGCTCTACATCACCTTGAAGGTCCCCAGGCTCACTGGCAAAACTGTCTTTGGGGCCTTAAAAAGAGTCTCAAGGTGGGGGCCAATCTTACTTCAGCAGCGATGATGTTCCATAGGGATGGAGCTACCACACAGAAGGCCCTTCTTCTTGGTCCCTCCAGATGGACCTCCTTAAGAGAGAGGACCCATTAAATCTACCATTTCTCGGCTCTGGTGGGTTGGGTAAATATAACTGGGAAAAGACTGCCCTTTATCTTTCTTTTTAAGATAAGCAAACTTGAAAACTAACACCACACTATCAGCCATCAGTATTCAAAGAGCTGTCCTCCAGATACATTTTTGTGAATAAATATGATGGCGGAAACTAGCATTGTGCAATGTGCCAAGCATCCTATTTGCCTTTTAATTGTAGAAAAGCAAAGCCAGATGTGACCTGATCTACTCTGTTTATATTTTCATTAAAGGCTGATCCAAATAGAGGAAAGCATGCAGGCCAGATGTTTCAAAAATGTTGTTTGTGAGTAAAATTTAGGGACTCCTAGCCAGGCAAAAGCTTTTAGAGATTTTTTAGTGTATGAATAGTCACGTCTTTTCCAAACCCGCCAACTTTACTCTCAAAATAATAGCTGCCATTGTTCTTCTGCACTGCTCATTTCCCAACAACCCTGAGGTAGAAATTTATAGGCTTCTCGCTACAGTTAGTCCTTAACTTACAATCACAATTGGGACGAGAATTTCTATTGCAAATCAACATGGATGTTAAGTGAGACGTGTCCAATTTTACGGCCTTTTTTGCCATAGTTATTAAGCAAATTAATGAAGTTGTTAAGTGAATCATGTCATTAAGTGCATCCGGCAGCCCTGATTGACTTTGTCTGTTGGAAGCTGCTGGGAAGGTCACAAATGGCAATCATGTGACCCTGGGACACTCCAACTGCCATAAATACATGCTGATGCCAAGTGCCCAAATTTTATCATGTGACCATGGGGATGCTGCAATCGTTATAAGTCTGAAGGCTGGTTGCAAGTCACTTTTTTTTCAGTGTGGTTGCAACTTCAAACCATTGTTAAATGGATGGTTGTAAGTCGAGGACTATCTGTATATCAAGATACCATAGAAAGTTGTGTCTGCTGGGATGAATGTTAGTCTGTTCCCTGATTCTTAAATGGGATTGTTCTTAGAATTACAACAGATTCTCTTTGACTTTTTCCTATTTCTCTTTCCCATCTCCTCAGAATACACCCATCCTCGACAAAATGGTAAGTCCAGAAAGCATAAAATGTAAATATTTTTCTCTTGGGAGAACATGTTGAGGGATTGGATTGGGCTCCAGAGGTCCTGTCACTGGTTTATTGGGTTTTAATAAATGAAAGCAGTGATTACAGATTATAAAACCATAAAACTAGATTGTATTTCTTAAATTTAAACTGGATTCCTCTTCAACCTTTAGATCCTGTTTTCCAACATCGGCTGTTCCCTTCCCGAGTCCCCAGAATACCTAATAGCATAAGAGGTGAGTTGGTCTTTTGCAGTGTCCATTTTTTTCAAAAAGGAAACATTCATCATGAGCAGATACAGCTTTGTTATCCTTTGAATTGCCCATCTATAAAAATTAACTGACCATAGATGAACAAATTTAAAAATTCTTAGAAACCCCGCATAGCAAGAAATTAGCTTCTCGGGAATATCCCAAAGGTGCTTTTTCAAGAGGCAAATGAGCTTTCTGAGGTGGGGAATGGAAAGATTTATATTCCTTGCAGTCATCTGCTTATTAGCATTCTCTCTGAGAGTACTTTAGCTACTTGGAGGTTTATCTGTGCCCACCAAGTGGCCTCATTGACTCTCAGAGTGATGTTAGCAACCAGATGACTGCAAGGAATATAAATCCTTCCATTCTCCACCATTCCATCAGAACTGAAGAAGCTTCTTGGATGAGAAGTGAAACATTTTCAAGGAAAAACAAAAAAAAGTCCCATTGCCTATTGAAAAAGCACCTTTGGCACAAACATGACTCGGAAGACTCAGAACCTCCATAGATTTTTCAGGAATGAATCAGATTATGATTAGAGGCAGATTCTTTGAATGGAACTAATGCTTTTTGGCCCTTTTTTGTCTTTGAATTTCAAATGGCTTCCATTCCATTCCCATTGTTGGTGTCTTTATTTAACAATCTTAACATTATTTCATTTTTAATTCAAACGAGAGGCCTTGAATTACATGGTTTTGCTATTTGCATTTGACCTACTTTAGAAATAGAAGTACATTTAAATAGTAGATCCACAACAATGAAATGTGAAATATGTACTTACGCATAAATATATACCAGAAATAAAATCTGCCAGGATTGTAAAGGCAGTGAATCAGAACAAAGATTTTGCACTAGGAAGGACACTATTCCAGCTCACTATCCCCAAAGAATCTATCTTAAGGATGCCCTTATATTTGATTATAGGCCATTAAGTGATGATCTGTCTCTAACTTGGTCCTTCAAGTCTTCCAAAGGTGATTCCATTGCTATGTTAACTGAATCCATCCGTCTTGATGGTGATTATCCTTTTCTTCTTTTTTCTTCTTCCTTGCCTCAAAGCTTTCTGCAGAGAGCTGGGTTTTTGCATAATTTGTCCAAAGTAGGATAATTGTGCCTGAAGTCCAAACTCTGTCTTGATTTACCATACTTTTAGGAATATAAGACGCACTTCCCCCCCCCCCCCAAAAGAGGGTGGAAGTGTTGGTGCTTCTTATACACCGAATACAGTCATTTTTGGCCTTGCAAAAACCCCGCCCCGCACATCCAGTTTTTCACAAAAACGGGGTGCGCAGAGGGTTTGGGAGGCCTACAGAGTGCTCCTCTGGGCTGGGAGGGCGAAAATGCCCCCATTTTTGTGAAAAATGGGCCCTTTTTCGTAAAAACAGGGGTTTGGGAGGGCTGCAGAGTGCTCCTGGGGGCCAGGGAGGGCAAAAACTTTTTTTTTCTTGCTTACCTCTTTGAAATCTTGGTGTGTCTTATACACCGGTGCATCTTATAGTCTGAAAAATATTTGATGATTCATTTGTTTTTTGTTTTCTGGGTATCTGCAGTATTCTGAGGAATCTTGGCTATAAATTGATAACCAAGGAATGAAGGAAGGAATGAAGGAAATTATATACATATGTACATTCTTTCATATGAATGAAATCTTTTTTTCATTCATATGACTGAACATGCATATATAATACGTATGTCATAATTATATACAAATACAGCTTGTATAATGGTATGATATTTGCATAACATTTGTATATTATAATTTATGAAAAACTGGATAGCATACTAGTTAAAGAACTCCCTTTCATGTGGCAGACCAGGATTCAAATCCCAGATGGAACCTACCTTACTAGTAGGGGTCCTTGGGCAAAGACCCCCTAAAATTCACCTGTCTTACTGCAAAATATGAGAGCCACGTGTTTGTACTTCCTATTCAGTTAAGCCTTTAGATCTGCTATTGTTTTTACTAGTTTTATTTTCCCCAATATGCAATACAGTACAAATAGTCCTTGACTTACAAAATTTGTTTAGTGACCATCTGAAATGACAATGGCACTGAACAAGGTGATTTATGACCAGTTTTCACATTTACGACCATTGCACCATCCCCTGGCATGATCAAAATTCAGGTGATTTAACAACTGGCATGAATTTATGAGGATTGCAGTATCCTGGGGTCATGTGATCTCCATTTGCAATCTTCCCAGCTGGCTTCCAACAAGCAAAATCAATGAGGAAAGCCAGATTCATTTAATGACCACTTAATTGCCTTGGCAAAAAAAAAAAGATTGTAGAATTGGGCAAGTCTCACTTAACTGCCTCACTTAGAAATGCACATTCTGATTCCAATTTTGGCCGTAAGTCAAGGACTATCTATAGTTACAACTCAGGACTGTGCTTCGCTTCGGGACATAATACCCTGGATCTGCTTTCCTCCGACACATTTCTAGGGAACATCCAATTAGAGTCCTTGGATTTAAGAGGTCCAGCCATTCGGTTGGTTTTCAAGGAAGGGAACGAAACTATCTTGGTGAAGCTGGTGCCGGCTGTTCGAAAGGCAATAGAGTTCTCCAACGAATGGATGAGGGAAGATCTCACCCACCTTTCTGACTGGTGGGACGGTGACCTCACCAATGAAAAGCAGAGCTTCCTCTGGAAGGTCCAAGCCCTTAAGGAAGTGGGGCTAGAGCTTGTCCCAAAGGGAGGATTCTGGAGGTAAGAAAAACCCCTACTCATTTGGTGGAAGGGACGGGATGGCCAAGGCTGAGGACATGGCTTTAATCCCTGTGGGATGCAAGATTGGGAGGCAAAATAAAACACCTGATTGGAACAGGGCCAGGATTTTCCACTAGAGTGTGAGACTGCTTATCTGGGTCTTAAAACAAAAAAACATTTTAAGCATTTGCCAAACTCTGCTTTTAATGGGATTCTTGAACCTTCATCTAAGGAGGCCTAGGCTGATGTTATCTCCCTTAATGAAAAAACAACAAACTCATTGATTCACTGGAAAACCTCTTTTGAGAAGCTGTGTGCTTCTCTTGCTTATACTTCAGTGTTTCTCAACCTTGGCCACTTGAAGATGGGTGGACTTCAACTCCCAGAATTCCCCAACCAGCATGTCTTGACTCCACCCATCTTCAAGTGGCCAAGGTTGAGAAACACTGGACTTGTTGCTCACAATTCCCATCATAGCCAGGTGACCAATCTACTTTGAGCAATTCTAAGTTCTAATTCTAAACGAAAGATGCTTCCTAATGCACAGAGGTACCCATCTAGCACTTCTATGGAACTCTTTAAAGCAGCTGCATCTTTTCCCAGATTATGCATAGGTCTAGAGTCCATCATTTTCACTTTTTCTGCCCAGGTTAAGAAAGGCGGCCAGCTGCAAATTTAAGATATACAGGGAGGATACCTGAGCTGAATACATGGTTCTAAAGCTCCTATTTGCAGAATGGTTGCCATATTCCTAACCACCATTTCCCCCTGGAACCAGGCTATCTTTCAGTTGTGCTGAGGAGATGATCCTTAAAGAAGTCGACGCTGATGGAGGGCAGAGACGGGCAGCTTTACAACTACTCAAGTTTGTTAACCAGACTAGATGGACCCCGGAGTATGGCAAAATCCTGAGTTCCTACCATCTTAAGGTGAATCTTCTGAACTAAGTGTGCACTAGGCCAGGTTAAGCCTCCACCTCATCCTCATGAAGATACTTGAAATTCCACATATGCAGGAAGTCCTTGACCAGTGACCACAATTGGGACCAGAATTTCCATTGCTGAACAAGACGGCTGTTATATCTGATTTTATTACCTTTTCTCCCACAGTTTTTAAAAGAATCACTGCAGTTGTTAAGTGGATCTGGGAAGGTCACAAATGGTGAATGTGACACCATGATGCTGCAACCATCATACATACATGCTGGTTGTCCAGTGCCCCAATTTTGATCGTGGGACTGTAGAGATGCTCTGATGGTTTTAAGTGTGAGGACTAGTCATGTCACTACTTTTTTCAGTAGGGTTATAACATTAGTTGCTAAATGAAGGTTGGGTCAAGTACTACTGGCGCTTTTATAAATGTACATACAAACTCACTTGCAACCCTCATGAGGGCATCTAAAATCGTGTAGCAGTAAAACCACCCCCTTTTGCAATCTCCTTTCCCTCTCTGCTGCCGTGGTGTGTATGTTAGAGCAAGGGTGTCAAACTCAATTTCATTGAGGACCACATCAGGGTTGTTTGACCTCAAGAGGGTGGATGGTGGGTGGGTTGTCAGCTTGACATCACTCGTATCAGGGGTGCATGTGGTGACCTGAGCGCTCTTGCCAGCAAAAACAGGCTCCCTGCCTGTTTTCGGCTGCAATGGCCTCCTGCAACCCTACATTTTTGCTGGCAGAGGCACTGCAGGCCAGTCCTTTGCTGTTTCCAAGGCTGCCCCGTGGACCAGATGTAATCACCCAGTTGGCCAGATCGGTCTTGAGTTTGACACCCATTATAGAGACATTTGTGTGATTTAGTCCCAATAGCATCAATAGCTAACTTCTACTTTCATAAAATCTCAGCTCCCTCTCACCCCTCTGCAATATAGCCAACGCCCAAATTCCTCCCTTCTTGCCTCTTCTTGAGGTAAACCTAGGAGCGTGATGATTGAGCCAACCCAAGGACGTCATGAGGCCTGAACCTCCAGTCAATGTAAGATCTAAGAATGGCTCTGTTGCTTTTCCTCTCCTGCAGACCCTTTTGCTGTGGAGCTGTGAGATCTATCCCCGCAAAGAGGCCTGGGAGACGCTGCTGTCCTCTCTGAAGACCCTCCTGGGGCTGCTGAAACACACCCTGGCTGAGAAGCGCCTCCCTCATTACTTCCTGAAGCCTCTCAATCTCTTCAACAAACATTACAAAGCCAGCAACGACATCTACTGGCCCTTGTCCTTGGAGACCCTGGCCCACGAGGTTTCAGCCATGCTGGCAGATGCCACAGCCTATCTCGTCCCGAGCCACAAAAGCCTACGCTACTTGGTCAACCAAGACTATGAAGAGAAAAGTGCAGCTCTCCAGGAGTTTAAAGAAAGACATCGGGAAGAACTGAAAGAGCTGAAGAGAATGGAAGATGAACATATGTATGAGGAAGTGGAAATTACTGAAGAATAAACCCTGCTGAGTTTTCTAAAATGGCTTTATACTGCCATAAAATCTAGCCCGTGATTAATTATTTTGGGGGTTTGGAGGGAATATTTGATTTAGTTTGTGTTGTTTTTAGATCATTTTAGTCCAGGCTGTCTATGTGATTTTAACTTTTAATCTCTTTTTATGATTTTTTTTTTTTGGGAAGGAGGGAATTATATGCTGCCCAGTGTCCACTGGAATTGGTCAGCTCTAATAATTTGAAATAATAAATAACTTTTCCTTCAGCTCAAGAAATTGTTTCCTATCATAAAGTAATTCCAACCTTCATGATCACCGAAGAAAGGCTGAAACTGTCACAGCAAATTTTTGCAGGAGGTTCAAAGGCTGCAAACCTGAGAGGTTATATCCTGAACATTTTTTTTATAGTTTGGCAGGTCTGTTCCCATCATTCACTGCTGGTTCTGGATGCTAGCCAGAATGGTAAGATAGAAAGATCAGAGTAAGGTCGCATTTGCCCTCGCATTTGTTACTGTGCCCTCCTCACAGTATCCAACTGGTAGCCAAATGTGTAATGGCAAAATGGCCAATTTTAAAAAGTAAGAGTTGTGGAATTTCCCCACACCTAATAATGAGAGACTGGTTTAATGGTTAAGGCATCAGGTTAGATTTCTAATCCTACCTTAGGCATAAAAGCCGGGTGGGTGACTTTGGACCAATCACCAGGAGTCTGTGAGTTCTAGTTCCGCCTTAGGCATAAAGACCAGCTGGGTGACTTTGAGTCAGTCACTCTCTCTCAGTCCAATCCACCTCACAAAATTGTTGTGGGGGAAAATAGGAGGAAGGAGGGTGTATAAATTTAAGTAGTTAAACTTACAAAAGTTCCCATTGCTATCCCCACCCTCAAAATACCCAATAGACCAAAAATCAAAATTGTTGAAATACTTGTAAAAATAAAAAGGGAAGTATAGGTGAAAATACATTGATTTTTAAGTGTAGAAAAACAAGGGAGAGGGGATGATGGTTTCCATGTCTTCATGAATAGATTTGACAGTCCAGTCCTGGGATGAAACACGCAGATCAATAGTAGAATTAGGACATCTGCTTTCAGGCAAGTTTCAGTTCCTTTCATTCACTTCCATATTAAGTAATCCTTAATGAGGTGCCTGTTTTTGGAGTTTCTGTCACAACCTTGTTGGGGAGCAACCTTCTTTGCAGGCGCACGCTCCTCAGCAATCAGAGATGCCCCCAGAATGGAGATGTCTTCTAGATCACAACCGATTTGAAATTACACAAAACCAAGATTATTTACAAAAGGACACTATGTACATCTTAGGTAAAACTTAGAGAAAACGCTCGGTATCCAAAGTTGGTGAAGACATCAATGAAGTGGCTGCTTCCAGCTGCTGTCAACACCTGAAGGGAGAAGAAAAAGATTTTGGGATGAGCTTACATGATGTGCTGAACCAGACTAGCTACCCACAACTCCAGCTTCATGCTTTGCACGCTGCTTGTTTCAAAATGCAGTTGATTGGCACGAGCACCATTTTCAGACGGGTCCCGGCAGTGGTTAGACCTCAGAACATTTTCTAGCCAACTATACTGTGCAATCTTCTCAATGGACTGGCAGTTTAAGAGACAGCTAAAATTTTCATTTCATCAAAATTGCTGGCTTTGGTTTTATATCACTGTATTTATTAGCTGACTTGAAGCCTCCTTTATGAGACAAGAAGTTGGATACAAATGCTATGATGAAGGATTCCAAACAACCTCTATGTTGTTCCCAAGATCTGAGTTTCTTCAAAATTCAAAAAGACCCAAATATCTGCCTCCTTCCCAAAACGGAAACCCCTGCCGCCTTTTCTAATTCCCCATAGCTCCTGTCATATTGCATTACAGTCTGGTTTGGAAGTATTACTGCTTCAGACAGGAAGGCGATGCAGAGAGTGGTGAGGACAGCAGAAAAGATTATTGGCAGTTTCACTCCCTTCTATTCAGGATGTAGGACATAAGCGATGCTTGAGCAGGGTCTGCAGGATTGTCTGGGACGCTACATATCCTCTGCACGACCTGTTTTCCTTGCTATCTTCTGGGAAGGGGCTTCAGGGTATCTGAAGCAGAACATCCATCTGAGCCACAGTTTTGTTCCATGTAGCATCAAACTTGTGAACAATCAAGCTTCCTCTTTCCGCTATGTATTCAAGATGGACAGTGATTAATATATATGTATGTATGTATATGTATGTACAGTATGTATGTGTGTGTGCAGATATATATATATGCATGTAGATAGCATATCTATATCCATGTTATGTATGTGTATACTTCTGAGAGCTGGCAACAGAATTTCATTTTTAATGTGTGCCAGTGTGCCCACAGAAAAAAATGACAATAGCAATAGCACGTAGACTTATATACCTCTTCCACAGTGCTTTTACAGTCCTCTCTAAGCGGTTTACAGAGTCAGCATATTTCCCCCCCAACAATATGGCTCCTCATTTACCCACCTCGGAAAGGATGGAAGGCTGAGTCAACCTTGAGCCAGTGAGAATCGAACTGCCGAAATGCAGTCAGCCAGGAATCAGCAGAAATAGTCTGCAGTACTGCATTCTAATCACTGTGCCACCACGGCTCATAAAGGTTATCTTATCTTATGATCCCTTTCTTATATTAGGCTACGCCTATCCGATTTGAGCTCCTCCCATTCATCCAATGAAGAGGCCACAATATCTATACCCACCCACCCCCACAACTCCCTCCCCCTCCTCCCCGTCCCAATCCTCCTTGCAATTCTGAAGGTTCCTTATTATTAAATTTATTGTCTCTCCATCTTAGCACAGAGTAACTGGTCAACTATATACCTTATGCTCTGCAGAGCGTTCGTTGATGGAAATGGAGTGGACACAACGAGGAAGGCAAGGAATTTGGGCCTTCACTTCCCCACTGATCTGTAAATGATTAATGGTTGGACTGTGGCCAGCAGAGAGAATCTGTAAAAGATGAGGAAGGGAGGGTTCCTTATTGAGACGGAAGTACTTAAAAATAAATCAGTACGGTTAAACAGCAGTCATCTTAAGTCGCCCAAAACAGAAACAGTATTTCCTCTTTGTCCCAAAGGTGCTTTTTCAAGAGGCAAATGGACTTCCTGTTTTTTCTTTGAAAACGTTTTGCTTCTCATCTAAGAAACTGCTTCAGTTCTTCTCCTCTTGGATAAACAATCTTTGGAGAATCTCCTGTTCTCTGCACTGTTTACTTTTTTAAAAAAAACCCACTTTGATGAATTTCAAAGAAAGATAAAATACAATTAACAAAAAAAGAAGATTGTTTAAAAGGGGGGAGGGGATCAGAGGGTGGAAAAAGTTAAAAAGTGGACAAAAGAAAAAAGGAAAAGGAATACAAAAAGAAGGAAATCTAACTTTATTCGGTACAGGTATCTTACAAACCTCCTCGTGCACCAGTCTTGCAAAATGATCCCCTCTCTATGATATGTGAGTATAAAATATTTTAGGTGTCTTTTAAATCACGCCTTTTACATGGATCATCTCCAGCCATACATTCTCACTAAGTTTTTTTTTAAAGTGTTGGCTTTTGTTGAATTTCTAAACCAATTTGGAAATCTTCGTACTGAGCTTTAGCAGATCAGTGGGTCTCTTTTAGACACCCACAAATAAAGAGTAGAGTCAGAGAAGGATGAGGCTAATAATGTTAAATAAAGAGGCAAAAGCAGCAAAGCAAAGCGAGGATGTCAAAATATATCGTGGGGCAGCAGGGTAGGTTCTGAAATTCAGGGATGTAAGACTTACCAGATCTTGGTAGAACATGGCTTGCTGCTGGCACTGAGGCAAGGGGAATACAGTGGTGGGTGTCACTGAACGTAGGTGCCAAAGGGTGAGTGCTGGGCCCCCGCCACACACCTGTGATATTTAAAAATATATGTATTTCACAATATTCTTTCTCCAACCTGGTGCTCTCTGCAAGCTTGAACTCTCAATCCACAAACTGATCACCCACTTCAGAATAAACTGGAGATCAGGGGCTCCAAAAGGACGAGCTATGGGTCCTTGGTGCTCTCTGAGCTTGGTTGTTTTCTTGCAGACATTTCATTACTCAGTTAGGTAACATCATCAGTGCTAGATAGGGGTGGGGTTTGCTCTTTGTTTATATAAGAATCACCTTGTAGAGGAGATGGGCTACACAGAAATATAATTAATAAATAAAATATATCAGTGGCTTGGCTTGCCCTATCAACGTTGGTGGGAATGTTCTTAGTGGTTCCTTGCTTAGGCTGTTCTTTATTGTTTGTTTGGTAGTTCCTTGATTGGGGCATTGTTTACTGCTTGATTGTTAGTCTAGAAATAATTTTGGTATTAATCTCTGCTTATCTGGATGTTGACTGCTGGCAAGGAGGTCTTTCTAGTCTTTTTGTTTCCTTTTGAGCTTTTTTATTGTTCTTTTGAATAGTATGCAGATGAGCTAATGATATGAAGAGAGCTAGCCCAAGAATCATGAAAACCCCATTAATGAGGCAAACAATTGGGGCGCCCTTGGCTGGTGCATCTCTTGGAGATGCAAGTCACTGAGAAGCTGATGGACTCACCATCCAGTCAGAGTCTGTCGCCAAACAACTGATCCACTTCCCATTCTGAGGACGGCTGCATTCCTAAAAGAATTAAGGAGAGTTTTTAGAGGAAAACTGCTGAGTTAAGGAGTATTTAGACTCACAGTATTAAAAACTGACCTCTGGATTAGTTCCCCCACAAGAAACTCACTGAAATCAATGAGATTTAAATTCCTAATTTTAAAAAATATCTATGGGCAAATCTGGAAAAAAGGATAAGTACAGTAATATTATTATTATATTATAAATATTATTATCCTTATGTACACTGGGAGCATATACACCGAAGACAAATTCCTTGTGTGTCCAATCACACTTGCCAATATTCTATTCTATTCTAATTTTATTATGCATTCTGAGTTTTGGAGAAAGAAAATCTATCTATCTATCTATCTATCTATCTATCTATATCTATCTATCTATCCATCCCTCCATCCATCCCTCCATTCAATTTCTTTATAGCCATCCATCTCAATCAATAACTCTGGAAGGTTTACAATTCAAAATTCAGGTTAAGATGAAAATACCTCATATTTGTGGACTTCAATTGATTGGACTTGACCTCCTGTACGTAAATCTGAAAACCAGATTAAAAGGGGGGAAAAAACCAGTGCTTAAAACAGCATTTTCTTTCTGATTGAAAATCACAACAGCATCCTTCAGATGTGTTGAGCTGCCCAGCATTCGTTCCCTTTGCAGCTGGAAGGCAACAAATTAGGGGCAGAAACAGAAACACCACCAAATAAATTAGAAATGTACAGCTCTTCAAATTCTGCTGAAGCTCACAGCAGGATCAAGCCAATACAATTACAGTGAGGGATTCCTGGGAGTTGTAGTTCAAAATCATCTGTATTTACAGTCCCCCTAGGAAGCATTATTGTTCTGCATTCCAGCCAAAGCAACCTTTGGTAGCTGAGCCTGTTCCAAAACAGTAGGGCCAACATAGATAAAAATTCTGTGTTTTAAAGGCCCTGACAAAACCCAGATACAGGTTTGCTTTAGACGTGAAGGAAAGGAATGCAGCTTAGTGATAAAGCACAACATTTATAAGCCAAAGTCTCAAATCAATCCCTGACATGTTCAGTCAGAAATCCCAGAGGTTTGCTGCTAATCATGCAATATGAGGTTAGGTCATAAAAGGAGTCCCTGAAAGTTTTACTCCACTAGTCGTAGATAACTTTAGGGGAATAATACTCATCTCCAT